GCCTGCCCTGGTTCCCCCTCAAGAGGTCTCCTGCAGCTTCGAGATAGCCCTCGAGGGCGCCCAAAATGCCACCAATATGCCCCAACAGAGCCTCCAGACGGGGAGACAGAGAGAAAGAACGGGCAAGCCAGCGACACCTCGCGCTCTGAAACTACATGCGCTTTCCGTCCCCGTGCCAAGCAGGTAACGGACAGAGCGAGGTACGAGTGATGACGTTGTGTTTGGGCGAAGCCCTCTAGGGAGGGGTCCAGGGGAGGGGGGAGGGGCGGGGGGATAACGGAAAGAGCGAGGTACGAGTGATGACGTTCTGGTGTGGGCGAAGCCCTTAAGGAGAGGTTCCAGGGGGGGGGCGTAGGCCGAGCAAGTGTGTTTAATGACTGTTTTTGGCAGTTTTCCTTTGGGTTTTTGAATGTTTTTCGGGTTCCCCCCCAACGATGGCCCCAGAGCGCTCCAAGAGAGCCCAAGACCGCCCAAGACGGCCCAAGAGGCCACCGAGAGACCCCCAAAGCATCGATTTCCCATAGGAAAACGCACATTTTTAGCATATACGGCTTTTCGGCTTTCACGCCGTTGACGACGGCCCAAGAGGCCCCCAAGACCGCCCCACGACGGCCCAAGAGGCTCCCAACAGGCCCCCCAAACGGCCCAAGAGGGCCCCAAGACGGCCCAAGAGGCGCCCAAGACGGCCCAAGAGGGCCCCAAGGCGGCCCCAAGAGGGGGACCACGAACCGACAAATCTAGCCTTTCGCCCCAAGATGCTCCCAGGAGGCCCAAGAGCCCCGCAAGAAGCCCCAAGAGGCTCCCAAGAGGCGTCCCACGAGGCCACCAATAGGCCAAACGCATGATTTCCGATGGGAAGATGTACATTTTTAGCATGCACGGCTTTTCGGCTTTCACTGCGTTGGAGACGGCCCAAGAGGCCCCCAAGGCCGCCCCAAGACGGCCCAAGAGGCTCCCAAGAGGCCCCCCGAACGGCCCAAGAGGGCCCCAAGACGGTCCCAGAGGCACCCAAGACGGCCCAAGAGGGCCCCAAGACGGCCCCAAGAGGGGGACCACGAACCGAAAAGTTTGGCCTTTCGCCCCAAGAAGCTCCCAGGAAGCTCCCAGAGCCCCCCAAGAAGCCCCACGAGGCCCCCAAGAGGTTCCCAAGAGGCCTCCAAAAGGGTTCCAAAAGGGCCCCAATATGACTCCCAAGAAGGCCCAGAGACGCCAAATAGAGAGCGATCGGTAGCGCAAAAAGCTCTTCACACCAAGGCTCCCAAGAGCGAGCGGTGACGTACACAAGCTGATAAGACCAAGGCTCCCAGCAGAGAGCGGTGACATAACAAGTTCCTGACACCGAGGCCCAGCCAAGGCTCAGGAACGGGCGGCAACGCTACAATCTCTGAACGCCAAGGCTCCCAAGAGCGCGGGGTGACGTAACAAGCTCTCAACGCCAAGGCTCCCGGTACGAACGGTGGTGTGAGTAATTTCGGTTTCTGTTTCTGAAGCGCTCTTTCCGTTTCTATGCCGGGCCAGGTGGGTCTATCTAATGGCCGCTCGGGGCGTCTTGGAGGCCTCTTGGGCGCTTCTTGGATTGTCAAAGGCGCTCAAAGAGGCCCAGGATACCTCCAAGACGGCCCACGAGCGCTCCAAGAGAGCCCAAGACCGCCCAAGACGGCCCAAGAGGCCCCCAAGAGGCCCCCAAGAGGCGCCCAAGGGGCGTCCCAAGAGGGCCTCCAGAGGCCAAAAGCATTGATTGTCCTTACGAAAACGTGCATGTTGAGCATACGCTACTTTTCGCCCTCCACGGCGTCGACGACGGCCCAAGAGGCCCTCCAAACCGCCCCAGGACGGCCCAAGAGGCTCCCGAGAGGCTCCCAAAACGGCCCGAGATGGCCCCAAGACGGCCCAAGAGGCGCCCAAGACAGCCCAAGAGGGCCCAAGAGGGCCCCAAGACGGCCCCAAGAGGGGGACCACGAACCGAAAAATCTAGCCTTTCACTTCAAGAAGCTCCCAGGAGGCCCCAAGAGGCCCCCAAGAAGCCCCCAAGAGGCCTTCCAAGAGGCACCAGGAGGCCCAAATCATTGATTTCCATTAGGAAAACGTGCATTTTTAGCATATACGGCTTTTCGGGTTTCACTGCGTTGACGACGGCCCAAGAGGCCCCCACAACCGCCCCAAGACGGTCCAAGAGGCTTCCACGAGGCCCCCAAAACGGCCCAAGAGGGCCCCAAGACGGCCCAAGAGGCGCCCAATACGGCCCAAGAGAGCCCCAAGATGGCCCCAAGAGGGGGACCACGAACCGACAAATCTAGCCTTTCGCCCCAAGACGCTCCCAGGAGGCCCCACGAGCCCCCAAAGAAGCCCCACGAGGCCCCCAAGAGGCGTCGCTTGATTTCCGATTGGGATACGTACGTTTTTAGCGTGCACGGCTTTTCCGGCTTTCACTGCGTCGAAGACAGTCCAAGAGGCCCCCAAGACCGCCCCACGACGGCCCAAGAGGCTCTCAAGAGGCCCCCCGAACGGCCCAAGAGGGCCCCAAGACGGTCCCAGAGGCGCCCAAGACGGCCCACGAGAGCCCCAAGACGGCCCCAAGAGGGGGACCACGAACCGAAAAGTTTGGCCTTTCGCCCCAAGAAGCTCCCAGGAGGCCCCAGGAACCCCCCAAGAAGCCCCAAGAAGAGGCCCCCAAGAGGCCTCCCAAAGGAAAAGGGCCCCAATAGGATTCCCAAGAAGGCCCAGAGACGCCAAATAAAGTGCGATCGGTAACGCAAAAAGCTCTTCACACCAAGGCTCCCAAGAGCGAGCGGTGACGTGAACAAGCTGATAAGACCAAGGCTCCCAGCAGAGAGCGGTGACGTAACAAGTTCAAGACACCAAGGCCCAGCCAAGGCTCAGGAACGGGCGGCAACGCAACAATCTCTGAACACCAAGGCTCCCAAGAGCGCGGGGTGATGTAACAAGCTCTCAACACCAAGGCTCCCAGTACGAACGGTGGTGTGAGTAATTTCGGTTTCTGTTTCTGAAGCGCTCTTTCCGTTTCTGTGCCGGCCCAGGTAGCAGAAAGAGCGAGGTACGAGTGATGACGTTGAGTTGGGGCGAAGCCCTCTGGGGAGGGGTCCAGGGGAGGGGCGAGGGGGGAACGCAGGGTTGGTAATGGCCATTTTCGGATTTTTCTTTGGGTTTTTGCGTGTTTTTCGGGTTTCCCCCAAAGACGGCCCAAGAGCGCTCCAAGAGAGCCCAAGACCGCCCAAGACGGCCCAAGAGGCCTCCAAGAGGCCCCCAAGAGGCGCCCAAGGGGCGTCCCAAGAGGGCCCCAAGATGCCAAAATCATTGATTTTCCATAGGAAAACGTGCATTTTTAGCATATACGACTTCTCGGCTTTCCCGGCGTTGACGACGGCCTCAGAGGCCCCCACAACCGCCCCAAGACGGCCCAAGAGGCTTCCAAGAGGCCCCCAAAACGGCCCAAGGGGGCCCCAAGACGGCCCAAGCGGCGCCGGCCCCAGAGGGCCCCCCGAGGGCCCCAAGGGGGGACCACGAACCGAAAAATCTAGCCTTTCGCCCCAAGACGCTCCCAGGAGGCCCCACGAGCCTCCGAAGAAGCCCCAAGAGGCCCCCAAGAGGCGTCCCAAGAGGCCACCAGGAGGCCAAAATCATTGATTTCCTATAGGGAACAGGTGCATTTTTAGCATGCGCGGCTTTTCCGGCTTTCACGGCGTTGGAGACGGCCCAAGAGGCCCCCAAGGCCGCCCCAAGACTGCCCAAGAGGCTCCCAAGAGGCCCCCAAAACGGCCCGAGAGGGCCCGCAGACGGCCCCAGAGGCGCCCAAGACGGTCCAAGAGGGCCCCAAGACGGCCCCAAGAGGGGACCACGAACCGACAAGTCTAGCCTTTCACCCCAAGAAGCTTTCAGGAGGCCCCAAGAGCCCCCCAAGAAGCCCCACGAGGTCCCCAAAAGGTTCCCAAGATGCACCCAAAAGGGCTCTGGGCCCCGGTGGGACTCCCGAGCAGGCCCAGAGACGCCAAAGAAAGATCGATCGGTCTGCAAAAAACTCTTCATACCAAGGCTCCCAAGAGCGAGCGGTGACGTAAACAAGCTGATAAGACCAAGGCTCCCAGCAGAGAGCTGTGACGTAACAAGTTCAAGACACCAAGGCCCAGCTAAGGCTCAGGAACGGGCGGCAACGCAACAATCTCTGAACACCAAGGCTCCCAAGAGCGCGGGGTGACGTAACAAGCTCTCAACGCCAAGGCTCCCAGTAAGAACGGTGGTGTGAGTAATTTCGGTTTCAGTTTCTGAAGCGCTCTTTCCGTTTCCGTGCCGGCCCAGGTCTAATGTCTAATGACCTTGGGCCAATCCCGCCGACGTGCCTGGGTTGTTGGTATGAAGCCTATTGGATGTTCGTTGGGATCTCGTGGGAGGCCTCTTGGGGGCTTCTTGCAGGCAGTTTGAAGGCCTCTTGGGGGCCGTTTTGGGGCCTTTCGAGGGCCTTGGGGCCTCTTGGGGCGGAAGGCCTGTATTTTCCGTTCGTGTTCCGTCTCTTTGGCCCCCTTCGGAGCCGTCTTAGGGCCCTCTTGGGCCGTCTTGGGCGCCTCTTGGGCCGCCTCGGGGCGCTCTCAGGCCGTCTTGGGGCCCTCTTGGAGGCCTCTTGGGCCGCTTTGGGGTGATCTTGGGGGCCTCTTGGGTCGTCTTGGAGCGTCGGAAAGCGGAAGAGGCGAGAACGCCCGAGTCTTTCAGAAACCTCAGGGAAACATGCGCTGTGTGCCTCTTGGGGCCCTCTTGGGAGGTGAGGTCTCTTGGAGGCCTCTTGGAGCGTCTTGGAGGCCTCTTGGGCCACCTCGAGGCCATCTTGGGCGTGCGTCTCGGGACCCTCTTCTGCTGTGTTGACTGCCTCGTGGGGCCCCCTGGGCCCGTGTTCGGGCCTCCGTGGGCCCGAACAAGTCAGGCGACAAGACGCGGGGGAGCCCAGGGGAACCGCGACAAGACCCGCCGAATTTGGAACTTTGGGCTTCCGTAGCCACTGCGGCTCTAGTCTTTGGTCTCGCGCCATTGTTGTGGCGCGATGAATTGATAATGGCTCCGTTTCAGCCGCATTTCTGATCTAGCACGTTTGTATTATGGGTTGTGTAGTACTGAAGGCGATACCCGTGGCACCTTTGAACCCCGACAAGAGATATGACACACTTGGTTTCAACGCTTGGGCAAATCAGCACATTGGCAGTTGTTATGCCATAGCTTGGTTGAAGGTTGGTTTTCTCAGGCATCTGTGTCAGAGGAATTTGAGTTTGCCTTTACGCCACGAGCTTGACCGCACACCTGGGTCGTGCCACTGGGGTGCGCCACCAGATGAATGCCAGCTGTATTACGCGAGTTACGCGTATCAGAATACTAGATCTGTTCTCTGGGACTTGGTCGCCATTCTCGAACAAGAGTGTGCAGATGATGGCGACCTGGTGTTCATGTTGACCTCCAGTATTTTTCTGAAAACGAGCACCGGGCAAGACGTGTTCCGCGAAGCACCTGAAGATTGCTCCGAGGTGCAGCTTTCCCAGGCTGTCAACAGGACGTTCGCACCAATGCTCTGTTATTGGAAAATCCGGACCGTCTTGTTGCCGCGACTATATGATGCAGCGGCTGTGGACCATGGAGTCCGGCCGTTCTTCGAGCGGAAGTGGTGCACGGTGGACGTGATTCTTGCTGCGTATTGCCAGCGCATTGTCAGTCTGCAAAGCGACAGCGAAGCACAGAAGCTGATCCAGACAGGTACTGACCCCGCTCGGTTTGAAAACATAAAAGAATTGTTCACGCAACTGGGCGGGACCACCACGGCTGCGTGGGACGTGCTCGTGACATCTCTCAAGGAGTTAGTGCCGATTCCAAGGGACGCCGTTGGGTTTGCTCATTTCTGCAGCCAGTCCCAGATCGCCTGGCTGATGGTTTCGTACGTGAGGGAGCTAGCTCGGCGAGGAGGACCAGTTCCTCGCCGTCAGGAGATGCGTTTGGGAGGATATTTGGTTGGCGCCCCCCCAAGGGGCGTCCGCAAGTTCGTCGTGTCGCATGGCTGGGAGACTGAGGTTCACCCGAACCCGAGTGGGAGTAAGATGCGGCGTTTGGTGGAGAAGCTCGGCCAGCTTGGTGCCAACGACAGCGACGTTGTCTTTTTCGACTTTTGCTCCAATCCGCAAGATAACAAAATGGGCAGGACCTATGCAAAAAATGAGCCAGCAGAGGGTTTGCCAGCACGTGATGCGTCGGCTCAGCCATATTTCCAGCAAAACAATGTCAGTTATTATCCGGCACGAACCCGCAGCGAGAACCAGCAGTTCAAGTTTGCAATGTGGGAGATGGGCAGGCTTTATTCGTTCCATGAGTGTGAGGTGCTCGTCCTTCCGACCTTGGACACCACGCTCCCTGGCGGCGACGTGTGGGGCATAGTCAACAGCGCCCCTTACAAGATCCGAGGCTGGTGCTGTGCCGAGTTCTCCATTGCATTGTATTGCGGAACCATCCGGAATCTGGACGATCCCGACGTTGAGCATGTCCGTGCGTCTCGCACGTGGCCAGCCGACAACAGTGGATACGCAGAGATGATGAGCTTTACCACCAAGAGAGAGCTGCAGGGCGCTGGTCTGAAGTGGGATCCTGATCGAGGTGTGGACTTCACTGTCAGTGGAGACCGCCACGCAGTCAGGTACAATTTTTTCAAGATGGCATTGCAGGGGCCTTCATTGGGATCGTGAGTGTGAAATGTATTCGTGAAGTATCGGACCTTTCTGTGTACAATCCCTTGTACCCAGAAGAAAGTGAGAATTTTGGCTCCCATGACTGAGGACGGAGGCTCCAGGGATTTGGCCAAGGCCCTGAGGACACGCCCGCTCCGTGGCCCGAGGCACGCTGGCTGGATGAAGTAGACCGCAAACAGCGCAGGTCTGCTCGGAGAGCTGGTCATGGCCGCCACTTGGCTGTGGCACCCGCGCGCTCTGCTGACGGAAAAGTCGTCGGCCGAGTTCGCGCCTGATTTCAGAGACTGCCTTCCTTCGGCGAATTCATACACCATGTGTTTCCCCACCTGACAGGGTGGGCGCTGCAGCTCCTTTGCCCAGCTCGCACGCCCGGCATGCCGCGGCCGCTGGGCCTAAGGTGTGCCGCTGCTGCCTGGGTGTCCCGCCTCGGGACTCCGACGAACGACGACGACATGCCGCGGCCACCAGGCCCAACGTGTGCCCTTGCTCCATATGGGTATCTCGTCGCGCGCTCTCGGGCGTGGATGGCTCGAAGCAAAGGCACGTTGGCTGGTCTGTTTGTCAGCTGGTTTGGCCCTGGGTGTCTCTGGAGGCCTTGAAACCTCAGGAGGCCTCCACAGATCTGGGGGAGGGGGGGCGGGAAGTCGGATGGTGGCGCCACAGCGGGTATCGTCGGTGGTTCTCTCGCTCAGCGCGCCGTGTGGACCGAGCTCGGACGAGAGGAGGTGAAGGAGGAGGAGGAGGAGGAGGAGGAGGAGACGGAGAAGGAGTTGGAGGAGGGATGTTGTTGTTGTTGTTGATGATGATGCTACTGTTGATGCTGATGATTTCGATGATGACGGTGATGATACTAATGCTGATGCTGATGATGCTGATGCTGATGCGATACTGCTTATGATGATGATGGTCATGATGATGCTGATGATGCTGCTGCTGATGAAGATGATGGCGGTGATGATGATGATGCTGTGGTGTGATGGTGGTGATGCTGCGGCTGATGATGATGATGATGATGCTGGTGATGATGATGATGATGATGATGATGATGATGATGATGATGATGATGATGATTATGACGATGCTGGTGATGGTGATGGTGATAGTGATGATGATGATGATGATGATGATGATGATGATGATGATGATGATGATGATGATGATGATGAGGATGATGGTGACGATGCTGCTGCTGCTGATGATGATGATGATGATGAGGAGGAGGAGGAGGAGGAGGAGGAGGAGGAGGAGGAGGAGTACAGTCACGACGCTGGGGTAAGGAGGGGCTCGGGAGGGGCTCGGGTTTCCGGGCCGCTCCTCAGATCTAGTTCGCGGACCTTTTTCGTGACCAATGCTCTCCGCGGTGAGAAAAAGCCCAACTCGCTTCCTCGGGCTCTCCTCATGGTAGCACGACGGCTGAAGGGGGGGGGTGGGGGCAGGGGGAAGCCTAGCGGGTCGGGCGATTGGCGATCCTTCTTCGGACTGGTCGACCTTGTCATTTGTGGCAGCGGCGAGATACTCGATCCTTGCGCCTGGAAGGACCCACTCCTGACCGCTGCCCCAGCAGAATCTGCCGAAGTCGTGCGCACGCACTGTATCAGTCAGAGCGTGAATTACCTACCCCGCTTTCGCTTCCAGGCAAAACCAAGCCATACCACGCGCCTCCTCGTCAAGCGGCGAGGGCAGTACAGGCTGCAATTTGGCATCGTTTGGTATCTCTTGGAAGCGAGGTTGGTCAAAAGCGAGGTAGGTTTGTTTTCCCCCTAATCAGACCGCCTTTCGCCGAGGCGCTGACGGCCACCGCTCGCTGCTCCAGCCCACGCCGTGGCGCAGCGCTGCAGTTTGGGGGGGGCGCTCGCCCGTCGGAGCCGCGACTCTACTCGAAGCCTCCGCGCCTCACCATGTCCTGCAGTGCCCCAACGGCTTTGCTGGGGCCGTCGTGGTCGTCGTCGTCGTCGTCGTCGTCGTCGTCGCCGCCGTCGTCGTCGTCGTCGTCGTCATCGCCGTAGTCGCGTTGTCGTCGTCATCGTCGTCGTCGTCATCGCCGTCGTCGTCGTCGCCGTCGTCGTGTCGTCGTCGTCGTCGTCGTCGTCGTCGTCGTCGTCGTCGTCGTCGCCGTCGTCGTCCTCCAAGGTGCCCCACATCTCACTGGCTGTACGCAGGCTGTGCCCCCGCAGCCCTCCAGGGCACTGCGCCGCCGCTCGCGGCGGCGCCCCTGCGTGCGCTGTTCCCCGCGCCCCTGCGCGGGGGCGCCCGGGCGATGCCGAGTACTGCTGCTGCTGGCGTGCGCGCGAGCGCGGCCCCGCGCGCAGCCTCCCCCTTTCCCCAGACTCGGCGGCGAGCCGGCTCGATGTAAAAATTGAGTCGGGCATGTGCCCATACGAGAGGAACATTCAAAAATAGTCAAACATAGTTTAGGGGCGGTTCTTGTTCCCTACCTAGGCTCTGCCTAGAAGGGTTCTTACTCTCTTAGCTTAAAGGGGCCGGGCAGTGCTACACGCCCCGGGCGGTTCCCCCGGTCCCCGCCCCGCGGTTCCCCCCAGTCCCCTGGGAGCTTTAGCTTTAGCTTTAGCTTTAGCTTAGCTTTAGCTTAACTTTAGCTTAGCTGTAGCTTAGCTTTAGCGTTTCGCTTAGCTTTTCGCTTAGCTTTTCGCTTAGCGTTTAGCTTAGATTTAGCTTAGCTTTTGCTTAGCTGTAGCTTAGCTGTAGCTTAGCTTTAGCTTAGCTTTAGCTTAGCTTTAGCTTAGCTTTAGCTTAGCTGTAGCTTAAATTTAGCCTAGCTTTAACTCAGCTTTAGCTCAGCTTTAGCTTATCTTTAGCTTAGCTTTAGCTTAGCTTTAGCTTAGCTTTAGCTTAGCTGTGGCTTAGCTTTAGTTTAGCTTTAGCTTAGCTTTAGCTTAGCTTTAGCTTAGCGTTACTGTTACTACTCATGCTGCTTTCCTAGGGGTTCCAACTCCTAGGTAGGGTCGCGCTGGGATATTTTTTTTCATATCTGTTTCTACGTTTTCCTTCAAAATCCGCCTGCAGGGGGATATGCCCGACCTAATGTAAGAATGGCCCTTCGCTGGAGTGACCTTTGGTGCGAGCCCAATGGGGTCCCCCGATCGCCGAACGCGAAGCGGTAGCAGCGGCTTGCGCGCCTGGGGTTGGCCACCCCGCGTCTCCCGTGAAGCCGCGCACCAGAGGCCACCCTTGCCCAGGGCCACTCCCGCGTGTGGCCGAGGGGCGTGGGAAGGCTCGGGCCAGCTCAGAGGGCTCGGAGGTCCCCCCGGCCTTCTGAGAAGTGCTGTAAGCCTTCCCCGAAGACACCGGAGCCCTCTCAGAAGGCGCGAGGTCTTCTGAGAGGCCCCGCCGTCTTCCGAGAAGGCCTTCTCCCTCTCATTTCCCCCCTCGCTCGCTGCCGACGGACCCCCTGGCATCGTGAAGCGATTCCGACGAGATATTTTTTCATTTATTTTCGGCACCGGGGGGCCCTGGCCGGCCTTCGGTGCCGCCAGAAGAGAAGCGATTCGGGACGAGAAGCCGGTCACCGGGAAGGGGTCCAGACCTCCCTGGGGGCCCAGGCCATACAAGAAAAACGCGGCGTCGGGGGTCTGGGTCCCTGGACCCCAGTTGCCATGATGTTGTCATATCGTCGACCCCCAAAGGTCTCGACCCATTCTCAGGGACCGCTTTTTTATCCCGAGCCGCGTTTTGATGCTGCCGAGGCCCGGTAAAGGCCCCCGGACGCCCCAAATAGCGAAACACCGCCGCCATGCTTGTTTCACGACGCGAGGGGGGGGGCCCGGAGAGGAGCCGGAGCAGATCGGCGAGAGCCGAGAAGACCTGAGGGCCCTGCGGCCGCTAGAGCTCGCACGGGGCTAGGACGAGGATACGTCCTTTCCAGAAGCGTTCCAGAACGCTCTCGGAGCGTTCCGAAGGCTCTGAGAAGGCCGCAGTGCCCGAGACATCCTCCAGAGCGGCCAGATCTCAGAGATTTCGAACACGTGCAGAGGGGGGAGGGGGGAGGACTCTTGGAAGCACTTTGCTTTTTAGAAGGCGCGGGCCTCATCTATAGATGTAAGGCCACCGCCTTCTAAGCAGCAGCCTCCTTGTAAAATGCCTTCATCTCTCCCCCTGCTCCCCTGTGCGTGCCGCCACAGATTCTCGGGCTGTCCTCGCCCAAGTTTTGCCAATACGGCGCCCCCAGAAGTCCCGACACTCTCCCCAGGACCAGCTTCTTCATCTCGAGTCGCTTTTTGACGGTCTCGGGGACCGGCGAGGGCCCCTCAGGGGCCGACCACAGGGAACAAACCTCTTGTCCTGATGTTTCTCTCCTGCGACGCGATCCTGTCTGGGAGCTCGTCCTCTTCCTGGCCTCGTCTTGAAGAGTCCCCCGCCGGCCGAGCGCGCGCACCCGCCGCCGCCCCCGCGGGGGCGGCGCCCCAGAGGGGGCGGCCCTCGCCCTCGAGGGGTATCGCGGGCTTCGGAGGAGGAAGAGGTGATTACCATTAAGTCGGGCGTGTCCCTCTACAGGAGGAAGAGTCAAAAACAGTAAACAGATACTCAGGGTACGATTCTTTTTTGGATTATTGGGGGTCTTCTTGAATTTTGTTTTCGGAATGTCTAGTTTTTCGTCCAAGATCCGCCTGTAGGGGGACACGCCCGACCTAAGATTACAAGGTGCCGCTGCAGCCAAGGCGCTGGAATAGAAGGACCGCTTTGGGGTGGTGTGGAGGGGGTGGGCGCTCGCTGGTCCTTCCCTCCTGCCGTGGTTGTTCCTCTGGCCCGCCTCGTGCGCCCAGGCGCTGTTGGCGCGAAACTGGGGCTGCGTTCCTTATCTTTGGCGTTTCGTATATCCCTCGAGGGAGCGAGAGCCTCGGAGGAGGAACAGGTAACAATGCCGCTGCAGCCAGGGCGCGGAAGTAAGGACCACTCTGGGGTCGGGAGGGGCTCTGGTTTTCGGGCCGGTCTTTGGGTCCTGATCGGGGAACCTCGCCGTAAGCAGAAAAGTCCCTTCGTTCCTCATTTGGCGTTCCGTCTGGTAGCACGATGACTGTACACCCATCAGTAGTCGTGAGACAAAACGTCAGCTTCCATGGGCTCCATCGAGTCTTGACTGGGCCCTGGGCGTTTTCTTGGAGCTTCTGTGTTTCGTATGTTTTTCCTAACGTCCTAAGTGGAGTTCCTGTTTTCTCTGAACACCCCGCGCAGTCCTGCCACACCCTCTGCTCTCCACACCCTCTCCTCATCATCGTCATCATCAGCATCATTATCATCACCATCATCATTATGATCATCAGCATCATGATTATCATCATCATCATCATCAACATCATCTTACTCATCATCAGCGCTGACACTATCGCATCAGCCTCATCGTCGTCCACTGACTCAGTCACACTCATTTGATCACTCTCCTCCACTCATAACTTGCTCACAGTGCGAGAGAGACCGTGATGACGGTCTCTCTTGATGACGGTGTTTTTGGTCTCTTCTCACTTACACGCCCACACGCTCACATCACCATCACACCCTCACCCGTTCACCTTCATTCACGCATACATTACTCACTTTCCCACTCGCTCACTCACTTCTCCTAAGTGGCCCTGTCACGCACCCAATCATCCACACACCATCGTCACCACCTGCCTCATCCTC